TAGGGGAGAAAATGGTGTCCAGTTGAACGCATTATGTGTTGCCGATAGCAACGGAGTAGTATCACGTGATATCGTGACGTAACACTGTAGTACTCTATTCAGTATTGGGAAAATCAAGAGAACAGCATTCTATTGTTTATAGAGTATATGGGAAAAAATACTTAAAACAATACAAGAATGACTATGATGAGAATTTTAAAATTGAAATCATACTGAAAATGTTAACCCCTATGTGAAATCTGTTAAACTTTAACAGTAAACAAGGCAAACATTGGTATTGGGATAAAATATGAGAATAGCATTCTACTGTATTGACATATAAATTTACATTAAACTAAAAGAATAAATAATATTTTAAGAATAAGAATGATTATAGTGAGACGTTTAAAATTGTAATCATTTCTCAACAATCAACAAGGTATAATATACAGTACAGTATAGCCTGTACAGTATTGGGGAAAATACTTAAAAACAAGATACATGAATGAATATGAGATTTTTTAGTAACCATTACTGAAAATAGTATCACACAATGTCTGTTAAGAATAACCACAAAGAGGATAATAAATAAAATGTGTGATACTGAAATATATTACGCCAATATCATAAATTACATATACATAGTTAATGAATTTTAAAATTTATGTGGACACGGAACTAATGAATGGAATAGACTTCTAATTGAAATTGTTTAACTTAGAATACAAATCATTCCAATACTGTTTATCAAACATTATTCTTACTACTGTACTGCCATTTCCTTGGACTCACTTAAAAATACAACAAAATTACACAATGACAATCCTGTAATTGCTAACTGTCCTTGGACCTGCTCATTGCACCCATGTGTATGGTTTTTCATAAGTGGATGGTTTTTCATAAGGGCATACTTATCTCCTCCTTTTACTAAATAAAAATTTTGAATTTATAGAATCCTCAAGCGAAAGTGCTTTCTGTACAAGTGGACATTTTATCTCCAAAAGTCCAAAGCAATCGTCCATAGATGGGTCGTAAACCTTTCCACCTGGTGTTGCCCCAAGATGTGGTATAGCTGGGTTTACTATCAACCCACTCTATCAAAGATTCTGAAGTTCTTTATTTGTTTAACACATTAATTTGTGTAGGCCTTACTTGCAATTTTCTCATTTGCTTGGCCATGGGACACTGATCGTATGTCGCTTAGATCTCTGCTGCAACAAATTTTGAGTTTTGAGAAAAGACTCTGTTGGAACTTTTACTCGCTTATTGATATTTCCAAATTTAGAGGCAGTTAAACGGAGCTTTCTCTCCTCACGCCACTCAAGACACTGTACTTGCAGAACTGTTCTCTTCTCTAAACTTCTTGCTTCATCTAAGGTGACTTCAAGCTTCCTATTTAAATTGTCCTCCATTTCAACAACAGCAACATTTGTGTCACAGATATGTTAGATCTGGAAAGCCTTTACATTCATTTGGATGTTTAATATCTGAAAGCTTCTCGCTAAAAAATAGCCTAACACAGGGCCGACGGAACGTTTTTCAAATTGGGGGCCCCAACTTATAAGATGAATGGGAATATGAATCATGCAGATCTGGAATCAAATCTAGGGGGTCTGGAGTCTTCTCCCGGGAAAATTTTGATTTCTAGATGGCGGGAAATGACTTTTCTCGACTTTTGAGCTAGGTGTCTAATGACTTTGTTCTTGAAAACGGTCAGGTAAACTTTCTCATTCTTATTACAGTAAATAGGCCTGATATGTGTGTAAACATAAAAAAAAAAAAAAAAATGAGTAGTTGCATACGATTTTTTCCCCCATGAATCGATAAATCCCAAAAAGAAGGGGGGGGGGGTGTGTCTGGGGTTCTCTCCGGGAAAATTTTGATTCCTAGAAGGCGGAAATTAGTTTTCCCGACTTTTGAGGTGTCTTTTAATTACTTTTAAGTCCTTCAAAATTCAAGGTTTTCCCCTCTTGGAAATTATTATAATGAATCAATGAACCAAAGAGGAAAGAGAGGTTTAGGTTCTCCCCTGGAAAATGTTGATTTTTAAATGGTGGGAAATAAGCTTTCCCGACTTCTGAAGTATCTTTTAGCAACTTCAATTTAAGCTCTTCAAAATTGAAGGTTTCCCCTCTTGAAAATGGTCAGGTTAATTTTTTCCTATTGTTTTTATAATAAATATGCCTTATGTGTGTGTACATACATAAAAATTAAATAAAAATATGAGTAGTTGCATATGAATATTTTTTCCATGAATCGATAAATCCCAACAAAAAAGGGGGTCCAGTGGTTCTCCCCGGGAAAAATTTTGGTTCCTAGAAGGTGGAAAAATTAGTTTTCCCGACTTCTGAGGTGTCTTTTAATTACTTTTAAGTTCTTCAAAATTCAAGGTTTTCCCCCTCTTGAAAATGATGAATCAATGCACACCAAAGCAAAAGGGGGTTCCCCCGGGAAAATTTCGATTTCTAGATGGCGGGAAATGAGCTTTCCTGACTTCTTCCTGACATTTTGTGTGTATATCACATAAACAAATGAGTAGTTGCATGTATATTCTTTTTCCCATGAATCGATAAATACTAACAAAAAAGGGTGGTCCGGGGGGTTCTCCCCCTGGAAAATTGTGATTCCTAGATGGCGGGAAATGAGCTTTTTCGACATTTGAATTGTGTTTTAATGACTTTTATGTTCTTCAAAATTCTAATTGTCTTCAAAATTCAAGGTTTTCCCCCTCTTGAAAATGATAAATCAATGCACACCAAAGCAAAAGGGGGGTCCAGGTTCCCCCGGGAAAATTTCGATTTCTAGATGGCGGGAAATGAGCTTTCCTGACTTCTTCCTGACATTTTATGTGTGTATATCACATAAACAAATGAGTAGTTGCATGCGTATTCTTTTTCCCATAATTCGATAAATCCTAACAAAAAAAATGGAAAATTGTGATTCCTAGATGGCGGGAAATGAGCTTTTTCGACATTTGAATTGTGTTTTAATGACTTTTATGTTCTTCAAAATTCTAATTTTCTTAAGTGAAAAAAAAAATAAAAAAATCAGCTCATGGGTCCTGAAAAGGTAGGTCTAGAATTCTTCCCCCCCCACCTTTTTTTGGCCCAAGGGAGGGGTCAGGACTGATGACCCCTCCCCCAGATCCGCCAATGTGAATTGCGAGAAAATGTAACTCGGTCGGGGACTGGTTAAACATTCTCTTTCCCATCCTTCTCCTCCTTCTTCCCTCTTTCTTTTCTTGCATATCTTTCCGATCATACAAAAATCTCCAGACATTATATATTTTTTGCCGGTTCCGCCGGCCATGATCATTGTGTCTGCCATAATCGATAAGTTGATAAGCAAGGCAAGCACCTAATGGTACAGTGCCCAATGGAGTGCTTACTGTCATGGCTGGTTTCTGATCACTAAGCAAGTATGAGAATGGGGGTGCATTGTCCATATCTTTTAAACGCGATACTTCATCTAAAACACTTACTGGGTTCGATGCAGCACTTTTCATTAAAGCTGACCTGGGGTCAAACAGCTTGCAAAATACTGGGGTTTCTTTCTTTTCCCTAATCGCTCTGTGTCTGGCTTTGCATAATGTGTACCCATCAATGGTAATGGCTCTACTGAATCTTGTCTGGAGATGTGTCACTCCTTTGGCCTACTTGTTTTGCTTAAATCTATTGGGATTTCATGTAGTTCATCAGAAAAATAGTTAACCATTTGGTACAAGGCAAAAATATGATTACATATTCCTCCACAACCAGCAATGCAGGAACAATGCACCTTCGTCACCTGTGATCTATTGTCTAATGTTGCTACTTTCAAATGCAACAAACGGGATGATTCGTTTTTTTTTTTTTATACTGCGATAGTATTTACCATAAATAATATGTTTTTGCCTTAGGCCTAAAATCACCCCAGCCGGCGACAACTCCACTGGAGCAACATGCACGTCGTGAACGTACCTTTCCTTACTATCCATTGAAGCCTTACCAAACCAATCTGACAGTGTTTTAAAATTGGATTTGGGAACACTTCCAAATGATTTTCGAAATCGCGTTCTAACCAACATTTGCAACATCTATGATGTGCCTTACAACAACAAGTCGAAGCCATATTCAATACACTGTTGTCTCGCGATGTAAACAAACCCTAATACCCACTATAAGTCACAAGACCTGAGCCGCCGATTCGGTCTATTGTTCCAGGACTGAAGAATCAGCTTTATGTTACGGTGGAATTGTATATATATGAAAGTTAATTAATTCACAATCTATTATGATCAGAAGTTGATGGAAGTCGCCTCAACTTTTAAATGTAGACAACAGTACAGTATTCCTATTATTTTTGGAATGGCCATTTCAAGGCAAATTATTAAAAGTAAGCTTTAATTTCTTAGAACCAAAATGGGGTTTTGCTCTCTATAATTTTTATAACTCTTTGATTTTATTACAATTCAATAATTCCTCTTTCTCTCTCCCTCTCTATAAATTTCATGCCTTTTCCCTCAAACTAGGCAATCTCAAAATTGAACAATGGAAATATTTGATTTTGAAATGAATGGAGAGCATCTTTGATTTTGTTGAAGTGGAGCTGAATAGCTTGGGGGTCACGATGCTTGGCTTCCAATCCCAGGGTCCTGGGTTCAATTCCTGTGACAGCAGGATTTTTCTCACGACTAAAACAACTCCACTCCCTAAGTCTCATAATGAGAACAGTATATTTACTGAACAGCACCCACGAAGAATTATAATTTTTAAACAACATAAATTGAAGGCTGTCATAAATGTTTTGACTACTAAAGGTCAAATGCCAAACACTAATTGATCCAAATTAGGAAATTAGCAAGACATTTATAGTTTAATAGCAGTAATGCTAAGCCTATCATTACTTATATTAAATTGTCATAATGAATAACAAAAAAAAAAAAAAAAAAAAAAAAAAAAAAAAAAAAAAAAAAGTAGATAAGATACTACACCCTGTTTAATTATGAAAACAATACTAATAATAATAAAATTTATAATTTATACTGTATTGAATCGCAATCAAAATTCAATATCATTAATTTATTAAAGATGGGCTTAATCTAATCATATAACAACACAGTTAATATATAAATATTTTTTGTGTTAAATTTTGGTCCTCATAAGTGTGCAAGCATTTTTACCATAAGATACCTTCACATGATATCACAAAACATTAAATCTGTTTACTACACACAACCTGTATGAGATTGTAAATAATGCACAACCAATTTTTTTGGATAACTGCACTTTGAGAAATAAAATCATAGATACAAGAATGCTGGTCTGCATTGATAATGTTAAGTGTACTGTATTTGCCGCTACAATTTGCCAGCTAAAAACTCACAGCCATATAGTAATTTTAAAGAATACTAAAGCGCTGTATCAATAATTATAGTTATGAGATGGAGCTCTAGCATGACCTATTTGGAGGCGAATGTATACAAGTGCTTCTTAACACATTGGCTGCCAGTCTTTTTCTTGGCTGTTGCTAATATGCCAAGGCATAGAGGGTGTGACCATAATGAACATCATTCTCATCAAATGTAATGAAACACGAACAAACATATGGTATTTATTTTCTGATCGCTGCTTTCTGGTTCTTCCATAAACCGCCAGGGCGAGAGTTCCTTTCCTGGCGAAGACTGCAGCGGTCAGACATGTCCAATAGGGGAGATGGGGTCGAACCAAGGGCCGACCTAGAGCCTTGGTCCTGGTCCTGAAAAAAAATCCCTGGTTGAAGCTGTTTATAGTATTGTGTGATGGTACACTAATACAAAGGCATTAATAAAGCATCTGTCCTCAAATTCCTAATGGAGTCATTCCTATCATCCATTCCTATAATCTTTCCCATCGATCTGTAGCAAACCTCAATAAGGATATTCATCATGAAACTCATGGTCTATCTTGTACTCTCAGTGTTTTTTTGTTACAGACTTTTTACTCTGCCAGAAGCGGTTCTCGATTGTTACACCATCTACCGATACTGACATGGTTTTTGAGGGTATCTTAGCAAACTGCTTCCCACCAGAGTTATACCTGAAATATAATTAATTATAAATACAAATTTTATTTTTTCATGAAGAGTATTTATACACTGTTGACTCTGCCCCCTGGCACATCA